AGAAAACTAGTGAACATGTCCATAATGTTATCAGAAGACAATTTGAAGGATAAGATTTTTTAAAATCTTTTTTTTTTAAATCAAGAACCCCCCCCCCCCCCCCCCCCCCGGTCAATGGTGTCCCTCTTTACCAATGTTAAAATCTGGTCACCTTAATTTAACGGCATAACAAATCTGTACACAATGTTTTATTGTGGCACACATCTTTCCCATCAACAGACTATTGATCTTTATTCCATCCTTCATATAACTTCTGCCTTCCTCCAAAAGTTCTTGTACTGACTGAGATGAAATGTTGCCTCAATGTGGTTGCTTATTTTTTGGTTGTATCCAAACTCCGCAGTTAAGGAGTGTTGTTTCTGAGCATTCTAAAAGCTTATGGTCCTGACAGTTGGCTGATAGTCATGTTGCCTGTCTATATTAGCTTTCCGTCTTAAGAAACTGCTTCCACCTGATTGCCATTTTCTTATCTGCTTCTCTTCTATTAAACCCATCCACAATCTTAGCTTTTTCTTTTGTAGGCTGGGGTGAGGCTGCCTCTTGACATCAGCACATTCCTGGAAATGCCAGGATATAGTTCAATTAACTAGGCAGCTAGAATGCTGGCATGATTGCTTGCATGTAATTGTGAATGAATAAATGAGCCCATTTCTTAAGTTACTGGGTCCTTTGGCAAAAAGCATCAGCTATGCTGAGCTTTGGGAAAGTGGGAGGCTTTCTGGCTACAGCTGGTTTTTCTAAGCATAGACGCCAACCCCACCTTCATTCCCTTCTACCTATCAATGTGTAAATAATGGCACCAAGTGTGGGTAGGTCATATATTGGGTACATATACAACTCAGTATCTTTCTCTTCTTCAAGCCTATTAAGAGTGTCTAAATAGTCTAAAGAGTGTGGAAAAACCTGAAGGGGCTACATAGCAGCTTGAGACTTCAGAGCTGTTTTCTCCTATGTCTCTGGCCTTCTATCTTCTATTTTTTGAGTGGGCAAACATTATTCCCTACACATCTCCCCACAACTATCCCTTGAAGATGATTAGCAGCCATTCTTTAAATACAGGGCTGTGTGTCATAACATTTCCCTCATCTCTAGCAGACAGTTTGCATTTCTCAATGTTAAAATGGTATTCTCCATCATTTCATGACAGAAGTTTTGTTTTATGCCTGATTTCTGATGCTTCAATAACTATGATATAGTTAGGAACGGAGTAATTTCTAGTTCCTGTTGGCTGTCTTTGGCAGTTTACAAGCACCTAGTCTCCTCGCCCTGCCACCCTTAGTTCCTGGCAATTTCTTTGGGCTTGGTCACCAAACACATGAGATATCTGGCTGCCTTGAATGCCAGACTGGCAATCTGCAAAGCACCAAAACAGAATTACTGCTTGACCCCTATCCAAATGAAACTAGTAATCTCATGTGGCAGAATGATGCTGGCTGAAATGAAGGGAAGGGAAGCCACCAGAGCCTCTTAACAGCCATCAGTTGTTGGGAAGCCACAAGAGAGACTGTGTGAGAGAAAACAAGCAAAGACAGAAATGAAAAAAGAGAAGAGCAAAAACAAAGAAACAAACCAAGCAAGCAAGGGATAGATTGAGGAACAGAGAAGATAATGAAAAAGCAACAGAAAGATAAGCAACTGAGAAAGAGGAGTGAGCAAGGAAGAGAAAGGGGTACTTGAAACAAACCAGAAAATTGAATAAGGAAATGGTTGCATTTCTACCCTTAAAAGCCACTGTATCCCCAGCAAAAAGTCACTATTTTCAGCCCCCATCCTCGTGGTGAAATTGAACTTTAAACCTGTAGGAAGTGGCCAATCCCTGCTATCAGTCTAAAGAGTGTGTAGTGCAGCAGAAATAAAAATCAATAATTGAACATTGACTCATGACAAGTTATTTACATTAGTATGAAAAGTATGTTGTTCTACAAAATAGCCATTTGGGCTGCACAATATATTATTAATAGCTTAAAGTATAGTCAGAATCTAGACCTTGATCTCTACGTGGCATTAAAAACAACAACCTCGGTAAGTTATATTGCAGGAGAATATTATATTGCATTTTGTGTAACGGACTTTGGGCAAATTGTATATAGCATTACATTCCGTACCCTTTCTTCCTTTCTGGCTGGCTCACTTTCCTTTTTAATCTCTTTTGTTAAAACACAAGCATACTATTAAGCCTATCACCATTAATTTAGCATTCAACATTTTACAACAGCTTTCATGACAAAGCACCCTTCTTGAACTACAGATCCTACCATTCACAGCTAACGTGCTCAAACCACTGAGCATAGTACTCAGAACCCTCAAATATAATTGTATGTTATACCCATCTCTGTGGAGGAACTGCAGTTATTTTCAATTTACTCTGCATTGTACTATTACTCATTCAAGACCCATCCAAATTAGGTTCATTGGCTTAAAATATTTTGTTCCGCTGTGGAGGAATAGTAGACGTTGACAGCAACCAGATATCTGAATAAATTTTGGAAAAATAAGGTACTAGTATGTTCTATGGACTGTGTTTAGTGTTATTAAACCAAGCGTATGAAGTAAAGGTACTATATTTTGTTAGACATAAAAGACACAGTAAGTGGGAACTGATTTCTATAGTACTGAAAAATACTATTTTGAGATGGGCAACAAGCCCTTCCCTTTCTTACAAAAATTGTCATGATAAAAACCAGAGAATCTGTTTGAAGGAGGAATGTTCTATAATTATAAACAAAATATATCACAGAATATATTAGAACTGTTTCTCTGTCATGCAGATAATAGTACATTTAGAGACAGATGATTTTTTTCTGAATTGGATAAATGATCAGACTGCTTCTAAGTTCTTGGCTGAGCTGCAATTGTTATGAATTGAGAAACAAGTTTGGTGCCTGTGCTCCACCACATGGGTGCCATTTTACTTTATATGTATGTAATATATTTGATATATTAGTAAACATGGAGGAAAAGCCCCACTGAAGCTCTATTGTAAAAAAAAAATCCCAAAACAAAACAGCAAACAAAGTCAGCTCTCTTAAGAATGCTGCTTGGAATAACAAGAAAAAGAGAAAGGTTTTGGCAAACCTTTTGGCAAAAGGTTTATAAAAAATACTCACTCTTGCAGTTGGTCCACCTCAGCATTGTTTTTGTAAATGTGTAGGACTCTCCAAAACTGTCTTTACGTGGCTGTAGATCTTGGTAGCAATTTCAGCCTACTGCAGAATATAACTTTTTTTTCTCTTAGCTGGAAGCAAAATGCTGGGAGCATATTACTGCTGCACTTGGCTACTGCCTAGTCACGCCCTAACTTACAACTGAAGGTGAGCAAAGGGAGGGCAGTTCTCTGAAGTGGTGAAGAAGGAAGGCTGATTGATAGAAAATGAACTGTCTGAATGTTGCATAATCAGCTAGCTGGGAAATTTTTAAACCTTTTAAACCAAGCTGTTCTACCTGGAAAACAAGTTCTAAAGTAAACTGAGCAAATAAAGGGAAATTGTTGCACTCTAAACTTTTGGAAAGAAGTGCCAGCTGGTATGACAGGGCTTGTGGTCTTCAGATTACAATACAAACATAGATGCTGGCTTGCAGTTTGCTTCTTGGTAAACATTTAGAAGCTTTTTCTTCATTCTGTTAACAAAAAAACTTGCTATGTATAAACTCATACAACATTAGCGGACGATTTCTCTGGCTTCTCTACTGCACATTTTCTTTGAAGATATTGGAATATGTATTTTTCTTCTCTCTTAACAAATAACTTTTAAAAACCCAGAGTATAGCACAAAAATAAGACAGGATTGTTAATGGTTTTGTAAAACTCAGCTAATTTATTTTACTCTTTATAATGTATTGATGCTATATATGCTCCGTATGGAGAACTAGGTGGGAAGGAACTGAAGCTAGGCAGGTTGTACCACAAAACAACCTTTATTCTAACAGTTAACAAGGCAAATTGCAAGACAAGCCCCCGAACCAGCAACAACTACATTTGTTGTCTGACAGCACTTTATATAGGAACTTTCAGATGGGTGGACCAATAGCAAGGCTGCGTTCTCCCGCTGAAAGCTGCTTGTGTCTTAGCCAATCAGGACAGCCCTGCAGTCGGAAGGTCTTTGGCCATCGTCCTAACTCTGAGGACTTAACACCCCTCTCCTCCCAGATGGCACATGTGTAGTTAGATAGGTACATTGGCCGCTGTCAGCTCTGCCCTGATCGTCTCAGTTCTGGGGCAGTGGCTGAAAAAGGAGGAGCTGGTGAAGAGTCCTCCAGAACTTCTGATGAACTCCAATTCAGTGCGAGGCTCGAGTGTCGCTGGAAGGCCTGATTCTCCAGGTAAATCAGGTGTCGAGAATGCTTTGGTGGTGGGTATCTGGATTAGTTCTGGTTGGGCTGGAAGGCCCTCTGGGGGTGTTATCTCTCCAGGGTAGGATTGTGCCTGCCCTGGCCGCTGCTTGGTTGTGTCTGTGACTCTTCTACTGAGCTGGTTTATGTGTCGGCGCCACATTCGACTGTCATTGAGCTCGATCCTATAAGAGTAGGGTCCAGTTAGTTGTACTATGTGTCCTGGCAGCTACCTTGAGTCAGTCTCATAATTTTGGGCATAGACTGGATCTCTGACAGCAAAAGTTCAAGTGCAACTGCATCTGTTGGGGGCTTGTTTGGTGGTATAGCTGGGGTGAAGTTGGTCCAGGTTTGTCCTGAGGTGGCGACCCATGAGTCTTTCAGTGGGACTTTGCTTGGTGACTGGGCATGGGGTTGTGTGCAATAGATATTGGGATCATCCCAATTTCCAGGGCCCAGATGGCGTAATGCCTCTATGGCTGATCGGACTGTCCGTTCCACTATGCTGTTGGCACCCAGGTGGAATCGGGCCGTCAGGGCATGGCATATGCCATGTTTGGCAAGAAACATCTGGAAGGGTGCTAATGTAAACTGGACACTATGACGTCCGGCAATCCGTGGGTTATGAACAGCCTGCCCAGCACCCTTATGACCATCTCTGATATGGTGGATGGCATGAGGGCCAATTCCACCCACTTCGAATAGGTGTCGACTAAGACCATAAAGGTCTACCCCAGGAATGATCCAGCAAAGTCCAGATGGACCTGAGACTTGGGGTGCTTCTCACTCACAGACAGGGGCAGCATTTGGCTACCCAGTCCTCTATCTCCTGGTCCATCTTGGTCTACCACACATAGATAAACCCCGGTGACTTCATGCGCATGATGCCAGGGTGGGCATCGTGCAGGCAATGTAAAATTGGTGCCCTTAGCAGGCACCCATTTTGCATGGACAGCTCATGCTGTCTCAGGTGGTAAGGTTGGAACTCGGGTAGCACTGGCCCTTGCGCCCACCCCTTGTCCTATTAGAAAGGGTTGGCACCTTTTTTATCTCCTCAATTTTAGATGGAGTGGGATGGAGCCCCTGGGAATCAATGAGGTATCCCAAAAATTCTACCTGGAGAACTCCTATCTTGCATTTCTCCTGCTTCAATTTGAATCCTGCACGTCTGAAATGCACCAGGACTGCTCTTAGTTTCCTGATGAATTCTGTCTGATTGGTGGCCAAGATCAGAACATCATTACAACAGGGTACTACCCCAGACAGCCCCTGAAGCAACTGCTCTCTCAGGCTATGAAAGATACCTGTGGCGACACTAACCCCAAAGTGGAAGTGTTTACAATTAAAAGCTCCCGGTGCGTGACAATGGTTTGAACCATGGCAGTGGCTTCATTGACTGGGAGCTGCTGATGTGCCTGTGCTAGGTCCAGCTTGGCAAATACATTTCCCTGGCCCAGGGAGTTGAGTAGATGTTGCACCACAGGACTGGATAGGGGTTGGCTTGCAAAGTCTTATTAATTGTGCACTTATAATCAATGCATATTCTGATGGTGCCATCCTGCTTAATTGGGATAACAATTCAAATGGTCCACAGCTTCAAGGACTCCCTGGACTATCAATTTGTCTAGCTCCAGATCCAGCACCCTTCTAGGTTTCAAGCAGATTGGTGCTATTTGAGGGTCTAAATTGAAAGAAATGGGGTTCCCCTTATATTTACCAAGGCTGCTGTCAAAGACATCTCTGAACTCACTGGGGAACATGCCCAAAGTGTCAGGAATGGTGGCGTGGATGCTGGATATTTGAGCCCCAATCCTGAGAACCAGTCTAGTCCCAGGAGGCTGGGCAGTGTGCCATCCACAATAATTAGGGGATGGCGGCTGATGAATTTTTTGCAGGTGATGTTGAAGGTGCCACATCCAAGGATTGGGATAGAATTCCCCTGATATTCCCTCAGTCTGACAGGGCATGGTTTGAGACATTTTTTTGACAGGCTGGGCACTAACTGCTTGATAGTGCCTCAGGAGACTAAAGATTTGGAGGAGTCAGAGTCCACCTCCATCTTGCAAGGCATCCTTCCAAATTTACAGTGAAGTAAATTTTGTTGTTAGGGGTGGCCATTGAGGCATGGCTGATGGCCACATCAGGCAGATGTCGGTCCTTAGAAACCGTGAAGCAATCCTGGCATCTTAGAGACTTTTTCTCATATTGTTTGGTGAATGTTGGCTCTGATGGCAGGTCAGTGGCTGGCATGGCAGCTCTGGATACTTTTGCTAAGTATCCTTTCTTGCCACAGCAGCGGCAGATGGCAGCTTTGAATCTGCAGGATAACCTGGCATGGTTCCCACCACAACTCAAACAGCTAGCCTGAGGTAATTTGATAGCTGGAGTCCATCTTTTTCTTTGGGCTGTTCTGAGGTGACTCACTTCACCCTTGTCATCGGTGGTGTCACCCTGATAGGCTTCTTCATATTGGATGGATTGGTTCTTGCTGGCAGAGGTGGTCATTGGCTGGAAGCATTGAATCTCCACAGTTGACCTGTCCAACATTTTGGACACCCTAGCTTTGTCCAAAACCATCTGGAGAGTCAGCTCAGGCCAGGCCAGCAACGTCGCTGCAGCCTCGGGTCTCTTACTCCACAAACAAGCTGGTCCAGCAGGACATTGTCCAGCTCACAGAAGTCACAGTACAGGGCGGCTGTCCAAAGGGAGGCCATATACTCATTAATGGACTCCCCTTCTTTTTGAGTCCTCTGACGGAATGCGGCCTGGCGTGAGGGGGCTGGAGAGTAATGTTTTTTTTTTATTTCTGCAGTAGCATCTCACGTGGCATTGTGTGGAACAGCTGGGGGGCAGCTAGCGCCTGAGCTGTCCTGAACATTTCATGGCCACATGAGCTGAGGAAATAACCTCATGGCCACTGGACAATTCGGTAAAGTCATTTGCCTCTAGGAAGCACTCAAATCATTTGAGGTAGGTGTTCCAGGTCTCAGTGGCTGGATTGAAAGCTGCAAACATGGGCAGAGCAGCCATCCTTAGAAGGATGGAATGCTGGGGAGGTAGCCTTGGTGCGACGTCTCATCTCCTGTGACTGGAAGGCAGTGATCAGCTAAACAGACCTCAGCTCAGGTTAGTGACTTCAACTAGTCTTTACCTCAGCCCTGATCTCACCTTCGTTGCCAGTGCTCTGTATGGAGAACTAGGTAGGAAGGAACTGAAGCTAGGCAGGTTGTACCACAAAACAACCTTTATTCTAACAGTTAACAAGGCAAATTGCAAGGCAAACTCCCAAACTAACAACAACATTTGCCATCTGACACCTCTTTATATAGAAGCTGTCAGACAGGCGGACCAAGACAAGGCTGCATTCTCCTGCTGAAAGGCTGCTCATGTCTTAGCCAATCAGGACAGTCCTGCAGTCGGCAAGTCTTTGGGCATCATTGTAACCCCGAGGACTTAACACTTTGAGACTAAGTCCATTTTCAGGACATGAAATTATGCCTGCCATTTCTATTTTAAAATTGATTGAATTAGCAAAGGTGGCAAAATTAACTGCTCTGATTAAAGACAATGGATTAGACAGGTTTATAAGAAACTGGAAGCTGTTTGTGGATTTTCTACATGTTAAATAAAATGACAGATGACTAGCAGGGATTTGAAGATTAGTTTTAACTCTGGGGTAACTGTTGACTGTTTACACACGTACATGCATGCACGCACACATGCACAAACATATGTTGGGTTGATTTGGTTGTTAGGAATTTTGTTTATATAAATTAGCATTTTTGTTAAATACAGATGGGCAAGTTTATAACTATTTGTAGACCCATTATGTAAGAGGAGGGGAATATATTAGATTTTTTATTTTTAAACAAACAAAAAACATAAACAAACATAAAACATAAAAACCATCCTCTAGTTACATACAGTGTGTCACTTGGTTACCAGACTTTTATACTTCCTCACCATAGTCTTCACTTACAATTTATATAGAATTTCATATTATCAATCTAATATATATGTATA